TGGATGTGCGGTGGGAAAGGGAGAAGCAAAACCTGCAGGTGCTGGGGGTACCCGGCCACTCACAGCTGCACAAACTGCCTCACTGTTAATTCATCAATCACTGCTTCAAACGTCTCAATCAGCAGAAGATTGTAAATTCGATCTTTCAGGGAAATAAATCTATTCTGAAAGGCAATAAAACGAAGAAAGGCAAGGCAAAGGAAGCACTGAGAATTTAAGATACTACATAAGGGATTTTTTTTGTTCTCTTATTAAGACAATTTAGACCTGAAATGTTTTATCAACTTTTATTGTATTATGTATACTATCTTATTGTGTGGTAGCGTCTTAAAGGGGAAACTGTTGGTCTATTAATTTGTTAGAGTCCATCCTGGGGAGCCTACCTAATGACACGAAGTGCCACAAATGGCAGCCAGGCTGTTTTCAGAGAAGAGCTTGGCTTTTCCTACCCCCCCTTTGAATGCTACACGTCCATCCCTTTGAACCTATTAGTTGACATTGCGGACGTATTTCCTCCTTTAGTCTCCTCTCACTATTACAGAAGCCTGTCATCCCCCAGCATAAGGATTCTGTCCTATGTCAACCCAAGACAGTAAATTTTCTACCCCAATAGACGCCTCATTCCAAAGAGCTGCCACTCATCTTGAAGTCCCAGGTAGTGAGTGAGAGAAACCTGACTTGCAAGGTTCAGCAGCCACGAGGAGAGAGGAAAAGTCACGACTCACAAACACGGAAAGAAACCCAGGCTTTTGGCAGAGAATGTTGATTTACGTTTTCAGTCTTGATGGATGGGCAGTATGCACTTTGCGTTTAGCTGAAGTTCTCCTTAAATGCCCTTACTCATAGCAGTTTAAACATTTAGAACATGGTGATCTTAAAGTATCACTGGCATTTTATGTCCAGCTCCCCACCCTAAAGTATTAGAAATTACCATTGAAAAAAATGAAAGACTTCTAAAAACATACATCAAATACGCTTGCACCAGTGAAGCTTTTTTCAAAAAATACACTCACATAGCCAGGTGCTAATTTAATTTTATTTATGAAATATAAGAGAGGTGATGGGCTCTGGCAACAACTATTTTCATGGACATATTCTAAAACCACTAGAGAATTCGCTACCTCTCAGAGCCATTGATGCTTTGAGCTATCTTTATAAACAGGGCACAAATGTTTACTGCTGTGGTTTACAAGAAAAGGGCTACTAACTTATTTAAAAACAAACTTTTAACTAGGGTGAACAAAGCACCTTGAGTGCTTTGTAAAATTGGAGCATACAGAGATTTTGAGCTTCAAGAATTTGGTGGTTTTAAAAAGAATACATATTTTATTTACTTTGTAGCAGCAATGGAAGGTCACACAAAATTTGCATCAAGTAAGGCCAACTGCCACCTTGGGTAGCCTATGGTCACATTCAGTCCTGCAAATGACTTGGAAGTCACAAATTAACATGAAGGAAATGGAATCCATTTGAAGACCCATGTTCCCAACTATAGCTCTGTGCCCTGAGGTAGAGATAAGATTTGGATTAAGAAATAGGTTTCTAATACGATTCAAGATCATCCTACAATATTTTCTTTGGAAACTGGTTTAGCCCAGGATATTTTAAAGAGAGACAAGAGAAGGCCTATTTATCTTGTCTATGTGAATGGTATTTGTATATTCATAAGCTATTTTTGGTAAGAATTTTAAATCTTTTAGCTAAATGCCTACAGGCATCATGACCTTTGCCTTCCTTAAAAACACAAATTGTACAAACACTTTATAAAGAGCTAATTATTGATGTTAAAACATGACCCCACATAAAGCTGCTTGTTAACCACTTGCCCCCTTTAACTGACATCCATGAACATAACCTTTGTTACACTCTTCTTTTTGATGTAATTTGTAGAAATGTTTTTTAGTTCATAATGAAAAATGTATGTACCCTGAAAAATTACTTATTTTGTTTAACTTTGGTATAAAGATGTTTGGGCATTTTCTTGGGGAGGGGGGATTACAAAAGAAGTTTGTCTCCCACATCAAAAAAAGTTCAAATAAATTAAGTATTTATTATATTTTTTGCAGTTGTTTCCATACAGTTCACATAACCTTTTTGTAAAGAGAGATGAAGAAATGGATTAAAGATTTTTAATATTTGAAATGGTAAATAGAACTAATTTATTTGTAATATATTTCTGTTATTTATAGATGTTTCCTTAATGTTTTACTGTGCATTACCACTTTAATTTAAGCCTTACCTTATCCTTGTGAATTTACCATTTCTTTTTTAAAACATGTCTAGATGCATATTTTAAATAACTGGAATGTAAATCGCTAGCATATCTGAATTCCCAAATGTAATTTTTTAAACTTATTTTGGTTTGGACAAAAAAAGACTCATTTGAAAGCCTTCAGATGGAGGGGTGGGGAACATTTTTATGGCTTTATGAATTGGAATTTCATAGGCTTATCTATCTAGATTGTGTGTGAACAACAAACAAAAAAATTGTAAATAGATGAATGTTTCCCATAATGTAAAAAGAAGAAATTAATAAAATAATCAATGCACTGCTTTCAGGTCTGCATGTTTTCACTACATAGTCCTGCTTCTTCCAAAATATAAGTAATTGCCCTTGGGGGGAATAATTAAGCAATTAAGAAGCATCTCATTCTAACTTTCATTGTAATAACACATATGCTGGTCACTGTTGAGCCAGAGGGTTGACTTTGTATCCTACATAAGGGATTGAAACACTAAAAACTAACAGTCACTTTGCCATGATGATCACACATATGTTAAAGTTTCAAGTCAAAAGCTGTATATTTTATGAAAAAAAGTCATTAGCCTCTCAAACTTGTGCAAATCTGTGTATATTTTGTCCGCTTGAATTTCTTTGCAGACATTTCATTCATTTTGTTTTCTACACAGTTCTCCAGGATAGGAAAAGGCAGAATAATGCTTTGTGGTTTTCAATTTATCCCTGCAGCGATGAAAAACTGT